AGGCTTCTCCCATGGAGACGGCTTCGGCCTGGACCCTGGACACTGAGAACAGAGGTCCTGGCAGGGTCCTGCAGGCCTGAGACGATGGAGGGAACTGTGAGGGCCGAGGAGACGGCTGTGGGGCTGTCCCAGTGAAGGGCCAGACCCTGGCCTGCCTCACTCCTCCTCTGCCCCAGATGCACCCCATAAACACAGTCACCCGGATCTCCCCGGCATGGCCCAGGGTGGGGGGGCAGCTGTTCGCCCCACCAGACACCCAGCTTGGCCATGTGAGCAGGGACTGCGCCTCCGTGGTTGGTTCATTTTGGGGTCATTAATGAAATGAGCTGTCAGACGGACAAGGGTGGGGGGAGCCAGAGAGAACGAATGAACTGTTCCTTATGGAAACCCTGAGTGCCCCCAACCTCCCCCCACGAGGGCTGGGGAGCCGGGAGGAGGCGAGGGGCCATATCCCCCAACATTCGCACCGCACTGTGTGGCCCAGCGGCTAGCGGAGCCGGGCCGGATTCCAGGCTTCCTATTTTTAGTCTTGCAGCGAACGCGCACTGTTTGTTTTATATATTTATATTCACCCGCAGAGCGAGCCCGCCCTGAGCCGGGCCAGGAGGAAGCCTGGGCGGAGGGGAGGGGCCAGCCGAGGGCCAGCTCTCTGGAGCCACCCTCCCTCTGTGCCCATGCCCACTGCTGGGAACAGTGGGCCTCGTGGGTGTCCTAATGGGTGGCAGCTGTCTGGGCCGCACCACCCCCCTCTGCTCTGTGGGCCTGGTGTCTGCGAGGCCTTGGCCAGAGTTCATTCACTCATTCACCCAACAGAGACCCAAGCCGCGCCCCACCCCCAGGTGCCAGACAGCAGGAGAAAAGGCGCACAAGTCACAGCCGTGCCCTTGAGGAGCCCACAGGGCAGACAGACAGGAAAACAATGCTAAGCTGTGGGATGGTCAGCGGGGACAAGGTGGAGAGGTGAGTAGACAGTCACCCCACAGAGAGGCAGCAGGAAGGCCTTCTAAGTAGAGGGAACCTCATGGCCTGGAGCAGTGATGGCGAACCTTTTGAGCTCTGAGCTCGGCGTGTCAGCATTTTGAAAAACCCTAACTTAACTCTGGTGCCGTGTCACATATAGAAATTTTTTGATATTTGCAACCATAGTAAAACAAAGACTTATATTTTTGATATTTATTTTATATATTTAAATGCCATTTAACAAAGAAAAATCAACCAAAAAAATGAGTTCGCGTGTCAGAGGTGTCGTAAGTTCGCCATCACTGGCCTGGAGGGACGGGCTGTGGCTGAGCTAGAGAGGACGGTGAGGAAGGTGGGATAATGGCGATGGGACAGGGGAGGCGAGCAGGCTCAGCTCGTGGGGGCTGAGGCCACTCTGAGGGACTTGGACTTGGTCCGGGGGCACTGGGGAGCCCAGCTGAGGAGTGGAGGCACGTTCTGATGGGTACGTGTCCGAGGGGGTTGCCGTGCAGTGTGGAGCGTGGGCTGAGCCCTGGTCACAGGCTGCTGCAATGGGCCGAGCAAAGGAGGATGAAGTTTGTGCAAAACGATGTGGAGAGGAGCGGAGCGTTCCGAAGGCACCTTTAGCACCGACGTTACAGGAAGGACCCTGTGCCCCAACCTCGGGTTTACGTGTCTCTCCGCTTCTCAGAGCTCCTGGCATCTGATGGGACCATTGTGGACAAGGTCTTGGTAATATTTTTGCTCTTTCTGACTGTGCAGTGACAACAGCCCTGCCCGCTCCCTGACTCCTTCACCCCACAGGTTTGGAGTGAAGCCTCATGTCCTGCTCATGACAACCCTGAACACACCTGAGGCCACGTGCAGCCTCTCTGACTAAAAGGTCCAGGCCTCAGAGTCTGGTCCAGCCTCCCAACTCTCCTCCGTGAACCGAAGATGTAATGACTGTACGACTCTGAGCCCGAGGTGCCCAAGGCTACATATTAGATTTTAAAACTACACTAAGACATTATTGTGGGATAAAAAGTAGATGATACAGATTGCCAACAAGCACACAAGAAGAATTACCCATAATCCCACCCCTCTAAAAATAACAATTGTTAATATTTTTACGGATGTTTTATTTCCCATCCAGACCTTTATTTTCTATACATATATAAATGTTTTCATAGGAATAAACATGTTTTCCTAGCTAGGTACACATTGCATATACTATATCTCAATTAATATAAGTTAAAAATAGAAATAAAGGTAATCTAGAATGAAATCACTAGAAAGATGGGTGATAGTTGTTTTGTCCTTTATAGAATATTTCCTGGTATTTTCCAAATTGTCTAAAATGAGCACATTTGTTAGAGGTATAGTATATTGAACTACTAGATCTTGATAAATATCTAAGCAGAGTTCAAGAGCATGCTTGGCCAACTCATTAGCTGATATGTCACCTCTTACAGGTAGCCTTCCCGGATAACCCATGTTGAAAATCTTACCATTTTAAACTCAGCCCATTAAGGGCTACCATTATCCCCATTTTACAGATGAGAAAACTTAGGAATAAGAACAGAATCCCCTCTCAATCCTAACAAGGGCAGAGTAATACCTGAAAAAGTTGAGTTTAAGTTTCTCATCAGCTAAAGGTATTAGAGGCTTAAAGTAAAAATTAAGTTAACTTTAAGAAAAAGGTAATATTTCTTACACACCTGAGTTTGTTTCCCATGACTTATATCCTATATAATAAAAGGCAAATATGCAAATTGTCCCCTTGACTGGGAGTTCCACCAGGAGGTGGGGCTGGCCGGCCAACCACCCTCGGCCCCTCCCCCCGGCTGGCCCTGCCCCTGATTGGCCCCTCCCACCCTGATTGGGGTGGGCCGGTAGACCCCACCCGTGCACGAATTCGTGCACTGGGCCTCTAGCTTGCTATAAAGACAAATCATCAAGGGGAACAAGACAGAAAGGAGAGAGAAATAAGAAAATGTTGTTTTATAAGCAGAAGCAGAAAAGACACAAGTCTTTACGGCTCTTTCTCTGCTTCTGAGAGTGATCTGTTTGCCTTTCTGAGTTGTGATTCTAAGATTTCACACATTTTGAAGTCAAAATACAGAATTCCCTGTCTCGGGACCCTCTCCTGGGGACGCCCTGTGAATGAGGCCCGGCCCCTGCGGCAGGGCGCCCTCGGCCTGGAAACGCACACCGTGGGGCTATCTGCCGAGGTGGCAGGCCTTCCCCGTCTCGCACAAGTTCCAGTTCTTTTTCCATGAAAACAACTCAGTCCTAAATCACCGACGCCTGAAATTAGAAAAATACGAGCCCCATATTATCATAAAACTATTTTAGCACAGTGGGGCCCTCTGGGTGGCGGGAGGGGTGGCCCAGCGCTGCGCGGCAGCCCCTTCCAGTTGCAGCCCCTGGAAAGGCTCCGAGGGACGAGAAATTTGGTTTTCATTAGCAGCGAATGTGAAGAGTTCTGTCGCTCTGAATGGACCTTTGATTCTGGCTGGCGGTGGAATCATTCCAGGACCCAACGAGTTTTGTTTTGTTTTGTTTTTTTTCACATAAAACGGGCCAGGCCCTTCTAGCTTATATCTCCCTGAACTTCACAGGAATTGGGCAACACCCCAACCTCTTGGCTTCTAAAGTCAACAGCTGGGGCGGGCGGGAGGGTCACCCGAGACCGTTCGGCTTTGTTGACTCTGAGGTTTTATTAAAAATGTTATGTTTCCTTGAGGTCTGCGCCAGACCCAACCAAAAAAAAAAAAAATAGCCAGTGAGGGGCTGGGAGGGGCCAAGGGCATTTTCAGCACCTGGAAGACAGCCCACCTTGACCTGCTTTCTCCCACCCAGTGGCCCTCAGCAATGGCCTCCACTTTAGAATCTCTATAGAAAGCACTCTTTACGCCTGTCTGTCTACTTCCCGTGGGAGAACATTGGCTGCTCCTTTATTCATTTGACACAGGCCGGTGAAGCGCTTTCTACAGTGTTGGAGCGTGGGATGCAGCTGTAATTATGTCAAAGTCCTCAGCCCATGGAGCTTCCGCCCCCATTGGAGAAAGACCATAAACAAACAAATAAATATATGACATGATTTCAGGTAGTAATTAGAGCTATAAAAAATAAAATGGGAGCCCTGGCCAGTTTGGCTGAGTAGATAGAGTGTGGCCTGTGAACTGAAGGGTCCTGATTCAATTCCAGTCAAGGGCACATGCCTGGTTGCAGGCTTGATCCCCAGCAGGGGGCATGCAGGAGGCAGCCAATCAATGATTCTCTCTCATCATTGATGTTTCTATCTCTCCTTCTCCCTTCCTCTCTGAAATTAATAAAAAATATATTAAAAATTAAAAATAATTTAAAATAATAATCCTATATAATAAAAGGGTAATACGCAAATCGACCGAATGGCGGAACAACCAGTCGCTACGACGCGCACTGACCACCAGGGGGCAGACGCTCAACACAGGAGCTGCCCCCAGCCTGCAGGCCCTGATCACCCTATCGAGGCCTGCTGGTCAACCTCTCAGTCCCTTCCCTGGGCAGACAGGCTCCGATCGCCCGATGGTGAACAGGGATCTGGG